CTAACCTCTTCACCAGAGAATGATTTTGCCATCCACTCTAGTGCACTCCTTCTCAGGACCCCCTTCAGGGCTATTTTTCCTTAGTGATAAATGGTTCAAAATTCACATTAGATCGTTTAATCTCACAGTGTTTGACATCTAACACATTTGGATACCCAGCTTTCCCAAAGATACAGTTAATGAGCTGACTTCTGAATATTCTTACATTGATATTTACCAGACCAACCTTACCACAGTTAAGACATTTCATTGGTGGTTTCCCTTGCCAACCAGCAAAATAATTCTGATACTGCCCTTGATATCTTTCACCCATTTTACCATGAGACATTTGATTATTTTGCCCTTTGATAACTGGAACCTTGGTTTTATGCTTAGCACCGATGAGATATTTTGATGATATTGTTTATTAAAATGCTTGCCTCTACCTTGTCTGTGTGAGATATCTTCTCTGTACATCTTATATGCCACTGTCAACCGATCTGCCAATCGTGCAGCTTCCATTACATCCTTGATTTTACCTTTATTTATCTCATATTTCATATCAGGATGTACTAAACCTTTAAAATGCTCCACTAAAACCATTTCTTTCAAATCCTCCAAAGTCATAATCTCCTCAGACTTACACCACCTCTCACATTTCATTCCACATCTCTACCCAGTTCCAAGTAAGTTTGCTCAGGTAACTTCTTAATTCTTCTGAATCTCTTCCAATACACTTCTGGATCTAACTGAACAGTTTTCAGAACACCCTCCTTCATAGCCTCATAAACAACAGACTCTACCAAACTTAAACAAGCATATGCCCCTCTCGCTTTGCCACCTTCTCAAACTGAATAAAGAAATTCTCTGCTTCTTCCTCAATAAATTCTGGCAAATGACTAATTCTAGCATCTGCTCCTTGGCTACTATGTCTCACAGACATTTGCTGCCCTTCTAACTCCAATTGCCTAAGTTTCACCTCTTTCTCTGCTTGAATCCTCTCTCTCGGCCTGGATCTTCTTTAACTCAAATTCCAATTTCATTTTTCCTCCCCGCCCAATCTGCTCACGCCATGCCTGTCCGCACCATCCATAGTCACTGATTAGTTCAACACCAAAAATACAAGTAAAATCTACCTTGCAACACAGTAGATACAACACTTACTTGTATTGTTACACTGTCTCACTATTCATAATCCACATTCCACAATGAACAATCCCTGACCAAGGTCCCCATATGTCACAGTCTCTCTTATGCTGTAACGTAAATATAATCAGGATAGGGAAATACAGCGTTTACATAAAAAGTATATTAAACAATATTGGTTTCACAGGTGCTGATAGCTTCCACAAAGTTTGGTAAATTTTTCTTGTAGCACCGTTCACTTGTAGCAAGTTAAAAATATATTTTTCTAGTGTATTTGCATGTGCTGAGACCGAATATGACCTTTTTGGCGGAAATTAGCCGTTTTTTTTTTGCGATTTTTTTTCGTTTGACGTTTTCCGAGAAAAAAAGTGGCTAAGCTACTAAAAATACTCAAAAAACACTAGAAAAACAATAACCAAACCTAACCTAACCTAACCTAACCTAACTTAACTTAACTTAACTTAACTTAACTGACTCTCACCATATGATGGAATCACCTATTTCTTACCTTATTGGCCTGGTTCTTGTTCGTTGTTGCATTCTGGGATTCTTACACAATGCCACATATGTTGGTCTTTGCGATATTTACATTCAGTCTTGCTCTTAGTACATTTTACTGAGGTTGGAAGAACACCATGCGATCGAAAAAATGCTATAGTTTCTTCGTTTTTTTTCCAAAAACTCGCAATCAGCTCCATATACATTAAGTGACCCCCATCGCAGACTTCCATGGTCGGAACTGAACTTGAATTTCAAAATATGAGAGACCAAAAAGAATACTCAAATTTGATTGGGCCAAAAATACTGCAAATTAAACCCAAAAACATTTTAATTGGTTTCAAAATAAAAAAGGCTTTTGATTGGACGCGTGACGTGTACAGCAACGCATGCGCAGGATGATTTATGAAGGGGAACGCAGGAGACACGCAGTGTTGGAGGAGAGGCAGACGATAATGGCTGGATGTTAATGGAAGAAAATAGAAAATATTTTGGAAGAGTTATCTCCGTTATTATACATTTCCGCCGGTAATGTAATAGATGAAAATTATCTTATACAGTGACCCCTCCGTTAACGAACTCAATCCGTTCCAGAAGGTCGTTCGTTAACCGAAACCATTGTTTCAATGGGTTTTTGGGTAATTGGTTCCAGCTCACCGAAAATTTCCTAAATTCAACAAAAATGGTAGATAAGTTCACTTACTTTGAGGTGTGTATGTAGAAGGCTCCTGGATGATGATGATGATGATGATGATGATGATGATGGGATTTAGAATCAGGGTGGAGGAGAAGGAAAAAGAGAAGGCATTGGGGTGGAAGAGAAGTCACCCCATGGCGCCATTTCACCCATAAAATTTTAGCTCTCTTGGTGTAATTCAAGATTATTTTCTTTAAATCAACACTGCACTGCATTATATATTGTCAATATGTAAGATATATTTCAAAATGACCAATAATTTGCTTGGAAACACAGAAAAAAAGCGTTTAGTTGAAGAGAGTCTCAAGCAAGATGTTACCTCCAGTGAAAACAGAGAGAGACTAACTCCTGTTTGCTGTGTTAAGAGGCTGGATGCCGCACATTAAACTAGTCACTTTTCCATCAGTTATGTTCAATAATTGTTAAAATGACTAAAAAATTGAATATTAAACTTTTAAAATTATTGAATAGTATAAACTTCTTGATATTTACTAAAATAGTAAGGAATTTTAGCCCTAGAACCGATTAATGTATTGGCGGACTGATATTAAAGCTGGTTGCCTGGTCAGTGCAAGCGAAAACATGTTGAGGTCGGTTCGTAAGAACTTCGTTAACCGAATTTTTTTTTCGTTAACCGAATTGAAGATCCTTATGGAAGGCAGTTCGTTAATCGAAATTACGTTAACCGAGGTGTTCGTTAAACGAGGGGTCACTGTAATTAGACGTCTTAATCGAATATGATAATAGATTAATGGTAGGAATGAACGGTGCTACAAGAAAATAATACCCAAAGTTTACATTAATATTAGTCTTATATCTTGATCCAACAATATGCTCTCTCTCTACTTTAGAAGTACCGTATGCTTAACAAATAGATTATAATATCTTATGACTACCAGAAAACACTGAAATACCCTTACAACCTGTGGGTTTTTTCACGATACAAAATACCATGTCCTTCACCAATAATACCCACAGAGAGAGAGAGAGAGAGAGAGAGAGAGAGCTTCCTTTTCTTGTTCCAATACGATTTCACGAACTCATCCACATCTTGTTTATATTCTTCATTTAAACCACTGCAATATTCTCACATTGAAAACTGTTTAAAAAAATCATATATTAATGTTCTTTAATCATATCAGATACTAAAACATATCACAAAATTGGAATAACAAAACATATATCACAAACTTAAGAAGACTTTAACCTTCAGTGAATATAGTGTGTCAAGAGAAAATGACACACTTTATGGGATGACTAAGGAAAACATAAGTACATAACATGATTAACTGCCCTAACGCTATTTGGTTAGGTTAGGTATGTTAGGATATAAGGGAGGGATTTCTTAGATGTATTTTCTTATTAATTTATCCCCCTGCTGTTAACTTTTAAGATCTTCAACCTTTTCTCTCAAATTCTTGCTTCATTAAGTATAGATGTTAACTATAGCTTAGTTTTTACTTCATATATAACCTCTGACCTTTGGTAGCATGGCTCAAGGGTTAGGACACAGGGGTACTGTAATTCTGGTATCAAGCTATGGACAAGAATGAAGGTAAATACCGAAGGAAAATAATACCCCTAATCATACAAATAAAATGGATTGTTAAAATGAAATTAGATTCCAGTAGCACTCAACTACAGGATCAACTCCCTGGCTTTACCCATTTGGTACTGTTAATTAGGTACACTTTTCACTTACACCAATACTGGGTGTACATTTACAAGAACACACCACCTTATACTCTCACATACAGCACCCTTGAGCACCATTAATGCCAGTTATCTTAGAACCTTAGTTCTCAATAGTACAGGACTCAGTAACAGCACCAAAACTAATACATTAAAACACAGGATTAGTTGCTTCTGTACGCTACTGTGATACATTTGCCGATATCCATATAGTAATTACACAGCCAAATTCTAGCCTTACTGAGTGGTGGACTCCTCCATAACAATGATGGGGGCTGGCGGTGTTTGCTCGGCCTGTGAGATCAGCCGGCTGGACAATGAACGCGTCTGGCGAACGTCTGGGCAGTTGACTGAGCTCCAGGGTAGATGGTTAGTTCCCCACACCCGTTTTCACGAAGTTACCAGAGTTTACTGGCTTTAATCCATATCCCAAACTAGTGTGGAGGTTGTCCCAATCTACAAGGCCCTTGGCCTACAGGAACCTGTGGACGGAGTGAATTTGTGGCCGAGACTGAGGTCGAAAACGTCAGCGTCTCGCTTCCCTCATCCCATGCTCACTCCCGCGTTCCACTCACGTAGATAATATCTACAAATGTTGTTACTCTACACTTAGACGTGTGAAAATTGGGCTACAAACTTATTTAAATTTCCTAAGATCAACTTTTCAAATTACGCAATGACTGAGCTTTCACAGACAAGAATCAAATTGATTTCAAGTTCAGGATGGCAGTCCCTGGTGGGAGGAGCGTAAGACAAGGAGTATTAGGCTACACCCCGTTAGATGGTAAAGATAGGGAGGCTGACACTTCCCTTCACAATAATTAATTACTTCCATAATTAACATCCTTACAACAATTTTACTATGAACATCAGAGAACCTGATGTTCATAGGTGAAAAATAGGTAACTTCAGCATCAGTTAGCAACTCCTGGCATCTCTAGGGAAGACGTCAATGATACCTCATTCATACAGTAGTCTCTACCCTGACTTATATTGACAATTTCACTAACAGTAAACACAGTTGAAGCTTTCAACATCAGTCACAAGGGATCTTGAATGTTTCGTCTGTAATCAGACATATCTAAGTTGACTCAAAACAATGGTGGTCTCACACACATTTAAATTTCATGAACACCTTATGAGGTACTTAGCAATACCCGAGTTTCTGCGGTAATGCGTAATGGAAAATAGAGGACTCGGGTCTCCTGAAGCGGTTAGAGAATGAATGCTTCAACTGGGAGACTCAAAAGGTTCGCAGGTTTTGTGGGCATGGAACATAATTTGAATTATTAGGTGTTAAATAGACTAGCTATGTTATTGTGACTGTGACAAGGATAGATTAGTTTAGGTTAAGTTAGTTTAGGTTGTTAGGTTAGGTTATAGTTATATATTAATTTTTTTATGATATATATTTATTTATCTCAGACTGGAGTATACAACGGAGAGCAGCTTCTGGAACACTCACCCCGAGACTTCCTCCCTGTTGAGTCCAAACTACAGGAGCCATCCATCACAGTTAAGTGTGTCCTGGAGGCCATCACCACCATCTTCCAGCAGGAGAAATTTTCATGAAATATAATCCAGACTTAATTGGTTACTATAGGGAATGAGACACTGCAGCTTGCTCTATTCTTTATCTTCAGGTTACTTACTAGTACAGTATATTGTCTATTACCTTATCCAAGATTTTTCAGTAATGAATTCCTTTTAATGTTACTTTGTCAGTATATAAGGAGAGAATATTGTACAGGACAGATGGAAGCACTGTGGTACTGTACCTTGTGATTTCAAATTTTTTTTTGTCATATATTAATTCATAGTTGGGTTAAGAGAGTCACCATGTGAGGGTCCAGCTGAGTGCTAATGAGTTTTCTTAACTTAATTGGTGTCTGCAGTACAGTACAGTACAGTATTACAGTACTTTAGATATAACTTCTCAACAGAAAAGGAATATTTTGTACGGGATTAGTGATAAGAGCAGCTGTTATTCTTAAGACATATAAGGTCAGTTGCAGAGGATAAATGACATAATCAACCATTTTCACCCCGACAGTCAGTGTGTTAAGGAATAGGAACATTTTAATACAATGTTTGGCAATATTATCCATAATAAATCATGTCAGTATTTATTACCACTATACAGTACAGTATATTGATGACTAGATTAAGGTGATCATTTGAATGTTATAATAAATCATACAAGTCACAGTGAATACTTTATGTTACAAAGGGAAGTTTTATATTTTATTAGGACTACATCTTTACACGCTATTCTTATGTTAACAGTTTTACTTTAGTTTTCTTATTGTGTTTTTATTACAGAGCCTTACATCACACAGACAGTATTTACCATCAGTCCACTCAGCTCTATTACAGACAAAATATTACTGTCAATATAGCAACTACAGTAGTGTGCTTCTAAGCCTGTAACCTATGTATCCTCTTAAAATAGCAAGTTACTGTATTGTGTGTGTGTGTGTGTGTGAAAACTACAAGAGTACAATCTGAAATGTGTATTGTGTGTGTTCATGGTTCACTACAAGGGGGTTAAAGTGTGTGTGTGTGTGTGTAGGGGGGGTAATCTCTTATGTTGTGTTTATGAGGTTGACTGTATGTTTTAGCGACTGGTGTGTGTGTGTGTGTGTGTGTGTGTGTGTGTGTGTGTGTGTGTGTGTGTGTGTGTGCGCTGCGTGTGTGTGCACGTGTGTGTGTGCGTGCGTGTGTGCACGTGTGTGTGTGTGGTGTGTGTGTGTGTGTGCACGTGTGTGTGTGTGCACGTGTGTGTGTGTGTGTACGTGTGTGTGTACGTGTGTGTGTGTGTGTGTGTGTGTGTGTGTGTGTGTGTGTGTGTGTGTGTGTGTGTTACATCATCACCTACCTCCCGGAAGTTATTGCAGCCATATCAGTCATACATATTCTTCTCTTTAAGCTATACCAATGTTAGTTAGGTCCCCACTCACCTCATGAATATTTTATAACCTCATTCCTGTCTTAGGAGAGCCGTGTAGCCACCATCAGCTCTGTGGGGTTAAAACTTGACAACATTTGCTCATTTATGTTGATTCTATTTGTGTTTGAGGGGGGACCGGTGGTAGAAGCGGTACCATTCTTGCCTTGCAAGCGAGATGTCACGGGTTCGATTCCCGGGCCGGTGGAAGTTGTTTGGACTTACTTCCTAGCCCCCATTAGTCCATGTTCACCTAGCAGTAAAGTAGGTACCTGTTGTAAGTCGAAAGTTGCGAATTCGTATTCTTGGAGCTTCCAATAACTTGATGACATAAACCACTGACTCTTCAGGCTTCTACGCCCTTGACTCTTCAGGCTTCTACGCCCTTAACTCATGAAACATAAAGGCAAGTATGAACTTAGCATGCTTCCCTGTTGGGCGCTGTAAACACTTCTGCGCTTCACCTTACACAAGGATGTAGGGGAGTGCCCAATATAAAAAAAAAAAAAAAAAAAAAAAATTGTGTTTGATAAAGCTTCCTTAATAACAAGACTGGAGAACAAACTGGTCGCCAGAAATAAAGTCTTGTAGCAATGTCAACGCTAGTCGGGTGTTTGAAGCAACAATGAATGCCTTGCCTCCACTTGCACACATTGGCCCAGTCATGTAATATTTAGTGATGCTCCCTATGATGATTATTTCTGTGCCAGTCTTTCAAAGAATCCCAAATCCTGAGTGGAAAATGACCTCTTAAGTACTGTAAGCCACCAGAGAAGACAAAAAAGGCGCGTTAAATTCTGTCAACACCTGCAGCGAAACCTCAATATAAGGAATTTATGCTCCATATAATTCGTTATATGGAGGGCTTCATTTCTAATGGACCCTCGATATAACAGAGTTTCTTCTCCACATAGTCTGTTAAATAAAATTCCACCATAAGCTTCAACAGAACACAAGGCAACACAATAATGATCTCACAGCTTCAAGTGGTGAGGCAGAGAAACGTAAATCTCCCTCACAGTATCACCCCCCACCCCTACATATACCTTTCCACCCCTACATATACCTTTCCACCCCTACATATACCTCTCCACCCCTACATATACCTCTCCACCCCTACATATACCTCTCCACCCCTACATATACCTCTCCACCCCTACATATCCCATCTTAGTCACACAAGACTCCACATACAGTATTGTGTTCATTTGTGTTCTATGTTGACTATTTAGTTAAGTGAGGGTTAGGGAGTCTGTTACAGTCGTGCTGCATCAACAATATCTGGGTTATGGAAATTTACCCGTGTGGAGTTTGTAAATTATGACTGCTAAGTTTGGGACACTGAACGAAAATTCACCTTTATGGAAGTGAGGTCAGTTATGATAATGTTTAAAACAAAATTAGTAAAAATATATAAATACTGTATTGAAATAAAAGAATGTTGTGTGGATTGATAACTCCTTTGTTTACCAACAAGTGTGGGTATGTAGCTCAGTCTTGTTTACATCCACCAGTGTAACTCTTAAACTCTCTCTCAGTTCCTAAACCTCTTCTTTCAGTATATGATCTTTAGGCCCATTTTGTTTTACCAGTTGGTGCAGCTTCAGATTGCTGTACCATAATGTTTGTGTTGGCAACACAGGTGCTTAAAAGTGACTCTCTCCTCCGAGTATTAGCTGCTGCTGTACTGTACATTATATATTTTTGGTGAATTTAATTCAAAATGTTTTGTGGATTATTTATATATTATATCATAAAATACTAATTTTTCAACATAATATTGTATTTTAAAAGTTTTAGTTTTATTTGCAACTTTTTAATGGGTCTTATGACTGGATTATTTACCAGAGGAATGTACAATACAGTGTATCCAATTATAATATGAATTTATGTGGCAAAATTGGTTTTGTGTTTTGTTATTTCAAATGATGGAAACTTTTTCACTTTTACATTTACTATCATCCTCTTCACCACTGATCAACTCGTTAACTGCTTGGGCGATCGGTCACGTCTCTGTTACGCACTGTTGGCAAGTACTGGGCATGCACTGGCTCCTGAATGTGTCTGAACCTGCTCCAGTGTTGGTCACAACACTCTCTGGCAGACTGTTCCACGAGTTCACAACTCTCACTCCGAAAAAATTTGCCCTCACAGTTTTCTGAACTTGTGGCTTTTTTAACCTTGAGCTGTGACCCCTTGTGGGGCGAGCGTCTGCCAGCTCCACGTATGGACATTTAACCGAGTAGTGCCCCGAGATGTTTATATACTTCGATTAGGTCCCCCCTCGCCCGTCTGTAGTGTAAGCTAGGTGGTTGCAGGCGCTCCAATCTCTCTGGGTGGCTGAGGTTCCGTAGAGCAGGCACCAGTCTGGTGGCCCTCCTTTGGACATTTTCAATCAATTGATAGTCTCTAGTATACCTCACTCTTGAAGGTCGTGACGAGCGACAGACCATTCAGATATCTGAACGACCTTCCTATAAAACCTACTAGTTTAGTTGCCTGATTCACCTTCTTCTCACAATGGCCCAAAAACTTAAGTTCATTGTCAACATACACATCCAGGTCCTTTTCACATTTAGTCTCAATTAATCCAGTCTCTTCATCCCGTTGGGACATGTGATACGCCTCCTTACCATTGGTACGTCCCAGGTGCATCCTCTTACACTTCATGACATTGAATCTTAGCAGCCATTTCTTCGACCATTTTTGAAGCTCACAGAGATCCTTTTGCAGCTCTTCACAGTCTGTTTGGTTCTTAATTTCCCTAAATATCTTGGCATCATCTGCAAACATTTGTATGGAGGAGTGTATAGCCTCTGGCATGTCATTAATGAAACAGCCAAATAACAACGGGCACCTTACACTGCCCTGTGGTACCCCGCTTGTGACAGGAACACATAATGATATTGTACCATTTGTCACCACTCACTGTTTGCGGTCATGGAGAAAGTCTCCGATCCACGCTAGGACACTTCCCCGAATCCCGTACCCTTCCAGTTTAATTCTCAGCCTTTCATGGGGTACACTGTTGAAAGCCTTGGCAAAATCTAGGTATATATTGTCGATATTTCGGCCTTGTTCTAGAATTTGAGTCCAAACATCTAGTAGCTGGAGTAATTGTGTTAAGCAGGATCTTCCCGGCATAAAACTGTGTTGGCAGTCCTTTACAAGGTTGTTTCGTAGCAGATGTTCCAACATGGCATCTCTTACGATACCCTCTAGTACTTTTCACACTATGCTGGTCAGGCTCACTGGTCTATAATTATTCATGGAGTGACGATCGCCCTTCTTAAATATAGTACTCAAATAAGCCATCTTCCAGTCATTGGGGACCTTTTGCTCCTCCAGGCATTTACAGTCTACAGAATAGGATCTTAAGTTACTTCACAAGCTCATTACACAGCTCTTAACACTCTGGGATGCACCATATCTGGGCCGGGACTCTTGTGAATCTTTAGCTTTGACAGTTTATTTCTTATAACCTCGTCCGAGAACACAAAGTGGGTCAGCTCTGTCAAACTCTTTCCTCAATCACAGGAAGATTGTTCGCATCCTCTCATGTGAACTCCGATGAAAATATTTGCTCAACGCCTCTGCTTTATCCTGGTTAGAATCTGCATAACTACCATCTTCAAGCCCCAAGTTCGATATGCCAACTCGCGTCTTTAATTTCGACTTTGCGTAGCGATAAAAAGCCTATGAGTTTGACTTGACCTCACTAGCAATCTGCCTTTGGAACTCTTTTTTCAGCCCTTCTACACTCAGATTTTGCTTAGCTCCTGGATCTGGCATACATCCTTCTGTCCTGCTTATCATTTATCTTAACCCAGGTCTCGAAATCCTGAGTTTTCTTCATAACTTTGCGGACTGCCGCATGGTTCATGTGTAGTGGTCTCCTTGTATTCCTGGAGGCACTGTATGGTGTGTGTGTGGAGGCAATGTGTATAACAGAACTTAGCATCCCTTCCATAACACGGAGGATGGCTGTGTATAACAGTACGTATAATTATGGGGAAAAAAATGTGTATTATATACTGCATTTTCCAGGAACTCGATCCCCAATATAAATTGGCAACTTCTATGTATAGTCAACTGCTAAAGGCCATTCACCTCTCTCCCTGAACCATGAACCGTAAGATTCAGACTCAGGGTAGGAGGTGAACAGACTTTAGTAGTTGACTATACATGAATGGCTGAAGGTGATCCCTTGAGTAACAATATCTCTCTGCCGTCACTGTGGTCCTTAACACTCTGTCATAGCTCTCGCTTAACTTTATTCCCGGCTAACTACACGGACTGCTCTCCCTAACTGTCTTCTCACAACTTCTATACAGTATCCCCTTCATTATTAACAAAATAAAAAATAAAATTATAAATTCTTGAGCTAATTAAAACTATATTGAATAGAATTTGATAGAAAAAGATACGAATAATGATAAGTGTTCAAATAAATTAGTGAGTATAAGTGGAATACACATTTTGTGCCAGTAGGCTCTCCACACATCTCAGTCTGATGTGTATAAGTGTAAAAATT